AACTTCCCCCAGACCCAAAAAGATGAACATGGGATGTACTCACTCATAATTGGATTCTAGCCATAAATAAAGGTCACGGAGTCTATAATTGGTGATCCTAAAGAAGCTAAATAAGAAGGTGAACTTAAAGAAAAACATATAATTATCCTGGCTATGGGAAGTAGACAAAATTGCCCCAAAAAAAAATTTGGGATCTTGGGTGTGGGGTGGGGTGGGATGGGGGTAAGGGGAGAAAGGGAGAGAAAAATGAGAAGGGGAGGATGGGGGAAACTTGGGGAAACAGGATGATTGTCTTTCCTTTTTTTAAGACTGCCATTTTTACTGTTAATACTATCAGTTCATGAGTATGGGAGATCATTCCATTTCCTAATGTCTTCTTCAACAGCTTCAATTTTTTATCATACCCAACTTTTCTTACTTGGTTAGACTTATCTAACAGATTTCATATTTTTTGAGACTATTGTGAAAGGTATTGCTTGCCTGATTTCTTTCTCAGTAAGTTTTCCATCTTTATATAAAAGGGATATTGAGTTTTGTGAGCTAATTTTGTGTCCAGCTACCTTTATGAAAGTGTTTGTCAGCTGTAGGAGTTCCCATTGGAATTTTTAGAATTTTATGTATATTATCATATTATTTATAAATATGGATACTTTGACTTCTTTCTTTACAATTTGTATCTACTTGTGTTTCTTCATTTGTCTTATTGTTCAAGTTAAGTTTTCAATTTCTGTATTGAATAGACATGGAGAGAGTGAACAACCTTGTCTTATGCCTGATTTTAGTGGTATTATTGATGTTGGCTGTGAGTTTGCCATAAACTGTATTCTAAGTACATTCCTTTACCCCCAAATAAATTCCAGGTTTTGTTTAGCTTTGTTTTTTTTTATCATGAAAGAGTGTGAGATTTTTACCAGAGAATTTTACTGTATCTGATGTGATTATAATTTTTTTTTCAGTTCTTCTGTGAAAGTCTGGTAGAACTGTCCTGTAAAACCATCTATCCCTTGACTTTCTTTGTTGGGACACTTTTAACGACTGCCTCTATTTCACTAGGGGTTATAGCTTTATTTAAACTGTTTATCTGATCTTGATTTTACTTTAGTAAGTGGTACCTATGAAGAAAATTATCCATTTCTTTTATATCTTCCAATGTATTGAACAACAGGTTTTTATACTTATATACTTATGATTCTATGAATTTCTTCAATGTCTGTATTATGCCCTTTTCTGATTTTATTAATTTGGATATTCTCTATCTATCTTTTAGTTAGTTTGGATAAGAGTTTGTCTATCTTGTTGATTTTTTCTTTGTTTCATTGATAGTTTATACTTTTCTTTTTTACTGATATCTGCCCTCAGTTTGATTATTTCTTATTGTCTACTTTCTTGGATGATGTTTATTCTTTTTCTTCTAGAGTTTTCAGGTGTCATATTAAGTTGATACTATGAGATCTCTTCAGTTTTTATATGCTGGCAGAAAAATCCCCTTTTACTGTGTTCCATAAGTTTGAGTATGTTGTGCTTTCTTTTCACTGTATTCTAGAAATTCTTTATATCTATTATCGCCCATTTTTTATTCAGCAGAGAGTTTTTCATTTTCCATAAGTTTCTAAACTTTCTGTGGTTTCTGTTCTTTTTGTATGCAGTTTTAATCTGTAGTTGTTTTATGGGATGTAGGGACTTATTTCAATTTATTATAACTTCTAAAATTTGGCTGTTTTTGAACATGGGCAATTTTGGAGAAAAAATCCATAAGATACAGAGAAGAAGGCATATTCTTTTGTGTTTAGATGAAATACAGTGTAAATATCTGATAGGCTCTTTTAGGTAATGACATCTATCTCCAGCATTTTTTTGTTTCGTTTTTATCCGAACCACCTATTTACTGGTGATAGTGGGGTTTTGAGCTCTCCCATTCTCAGTGTGTAAGGGTCAATAAGTAACTACAGTTATAATAGTGTATCTTTTATAAACTAGACTGCCCTTGTCTGGGGGTCATAGATGTTAAAAATTGTAATATCCCATGTGGGAATTTTCCCTTTGATGAGAATGTAGTGTCTTTTCCCTTCTCTACTGATTAATCTTGCCTTAAATTCTATTTTGTTAGGTATCAAAATGGCTATACCAGATTGCTCTTAGACTTTCTTTCTTGGAGTATCTTTTACTAACCTTCTAGCCTGAGGTGATATATGTTCTTGATGCTGAGGTACATCTCTTGAATGCTACAGTATAGACCCAGTTATCACATCCATTCTCTTAGTCTGTGTCTTTTGGGGGGAATTGGGTCCATTGATTTCAAAAGTTGGCAATAATTGATGATTACTGATTCTTGCTATTTTGTTGGTATTGGTGGTGTTTGTGGTAGTGGTATTTGTGTATGTATGTGTGTGTATGTGTACTTCTTTTGATTTTGATGGCACAAGATTATTTATTCCCTGGATTTTCAAGGATTTAAGCTCCTTAGGTTTATCTTTTCCTTCTAATAACTTCTGTAAGGCTGCATTTGTAGAGCAATATTTTTTTAATTTGACTTTATTGTGGAATTTATTTATTTACTTATTTATTTATGTTTTTTTGAGAAAGGGTTTCTTTGTATAGTTTTGGAGTCTGTAGACCAGGATGGCCTCGAAGTCAAAGATATCCACCTGCCTCTACCTCCAGAGTGCTGGGATTAAAAGCATGTGCCACCACAGCCCAGCTCTATATTATTTTGGTTCTATGGTGACTGAGAATTTTGCTGGATATAGCAGTCTGGACTGGTATCTGTGGACTCTTCAATCTTCAGTACATTTGTCCAAGAACCTCTGACATTTTTAAGTAAGGTATAAGTATAGTAAGTCTTTATTTATATGTTACTTGATCTTTTTCCCTTGTGGACAGAGCCTAGCAGCTGACTTAGAACTGGTACACACTGTTTAATTACAACAAAACATGAAGGGTGCCTTTGACAGGATAGACAGAATTTTATTTCTGCTCACAGCTATGAATTTTGAAGTGAAGAAATTCAATTAAGAGAGGGTAAATGGTAGGACTTTTACTCTCTTAGTGTAGCCAAATACCTCATCATCTAATTAATAAACTTTAAACTCCATTTACCATAATGATATCCAAATTCCACTTTCTACTAATCTTTCCTTTCTCTGTGTTACTCCATTGCTCTTATGGCAATTCTTTGTCTTACTCTTCCTAGGTTCTGTTCATCACTGCCCTTACTAATGTCCTAGCATACATCATACTCTCTATATTCCATAACATTAATAATATAAATGCATGATTATTTTAATTATTACTGAACACTTTCATTATGGGCTTATTTCTTACTATTTCTGCTTCTAAAATTAGCTTTCTATTTTCAGGAATGTGCTGGAGATTATATGATAAAGCCTAACTACATGGGGTGAGAAGCTACCTGCTAAGTCATTCTGGCAAACTGGGAGGGAATGACACAGCAATCCTAATACAACTAGTCTTACTTGAACATTACATACTTCATGAAAGAATATAGATAATGAAAAGAATCAAAGAAATAGCATACTCCTAGGTGAGAAAATATCCAACACACTAGTCAAAATAATTAAGACAACATAATTCTTATTGCTGCGTTGTGTGATATATCAATCACAGGTTTGTGTTTTTCAACACTTTGATACTGTAACTAGCAGTGCTGTTTTGGAATGTTGTAGAAAGTTTTGGAAATATAGACTTGTTAATAGTACTGAGTTCCTATGAGTAGGCTTTAAAGTTTTATATCTGGCTCTGCTTCCTGATTGAAGATGCACTGTGATAAACCACCTCACACTTCTGCCATCATGTCTTCTCTACTAGACTGAATCCTCTTGACCTTTTATCCTGAAATAAACTCAACTGCTTTCAGATTGCTTCTTGTTAGCATTTGGCCACTGAATAGGTAAACTTCAGCTCCAATGAGAGACGCTGTCTGAAAAAGTAAGATGGAAAGAACGGATGGATACAGCAGTAAAGTACCTTTGTGCTTTTGAAGAAGACCCAAATTCAATCTCTAGTACCCACATGGAGTCTCACAGTTGCCTGTAAATTCAGTTCCAGGATATCTGACAACCTCTTTTGAACACCATGGGCAGTAGGTACAGATAACGTGAACAGACATATATGCAGAAAATAACACCCATACACACAAAATGAAATATGTATTAAAAAATAAAATATTAGAATAAAAACAGCAATATTAAAGTGCTAAAGACCCAATCCAGATTAGTTTAGGGACCTGGGGCAGAAATGTAAAGTAAGTAACAAGAAAGAACCTAAACAAGACCTGCATAACAATGATAGGAACAGTTGACATAACAATGTGGCTAGGGGAAACCTCACAAGGCTCACCCCTAGATGAAGAGCTATGGGCAATAAATAGATTCTGAGAAAAGAACTCAATGTTCTCCAAGGATGAGCTTTCTGATAGACTATCTGATCCTGAACAGTTGCCCTAAACGTATATAAATAAATAACTCTAAATAAATGAAGTATATATCAAATATATATTGCTATGTATGTATATATTAAATTACACTAGAGGTCATAAATTTGAGATATAGGAGTGGAAATGGCAAGTTTGAAGAAAGAGAGTGAGTTAAAAATGATGCAAATATAATAATGAAATATCACATCTAAATATATAAATAATAGAAAAATATGAAAAGATATCCCCCAGGGCCTCTATCTAATACAGTATACAAGAATACGATACATTCACATTCTCACAAGAAAAATCTCCAGATCATGAATAAGCCTACACAACTGTAACTCCATTCAATGCATAGAAATGAAAAAATATAACCACATTTCATGTTGAAAGAGGAAAATATATTAGAGTAGTATTATTCCTTTTCTTTTCTAAAACTATTATAGAAATAAGAATAAAGAAAAGGAAAAGTATATCATAGAAGGAGGTTGATAGGGATGAAATGTGAAGAGAAAGAGCTAATCTGGAGACATGGAGGATGTCAACATCCCAGATAGTTCATCACTTAGACTGTGATTCTCTTCAATGTTCTCTTCACAGCAAGTTTGACATCCCTGTTCCTAAGGCTGTAAATGAGTGGGTTTAGTAAAGGCAGAACAAATGTGTAAACTACTGAAAAAAATTTCCTCTGAACCACAGACTCTGCAGATGATGGCATGATATGAGCAAGCAGACCAAATCCGTAGAACAGGGCAACAGTTATTATGTGAGAACTACATGTGCTCATGGCTTTAGACAAACCCTTAGATGATGACAAATGAATAATATTAACAAGAATAAAAGCATAGGAGGACATAATAATGATGCCAGTGCCAACAATAACTACAGCCACAGAAACAGAACTCACAAGCTCATTGGCATGACTGCTCCCACAGGAGAGCTCCAGCAGTGGGAATGTATCACACATGTAGTGGTTGATGACATTTGAATTGCAAAACCTGAGTCTGATAATACACCCTGTGTGCACAATGGCACTAGAGAGCCCCATCAAGTGTGAAGCAAGCATTAGCAGAGAACAAGCCCCGGGAGACATGACTACTGTGTACATCAGGGGCCTACAGATGGCCACATACCTATCGTAGGCCATGACTGTCAGCACGAAGCACTCAGAATTAACAAAAAGGCAGAAGAAAAATAGTTGAGCCATGCATCCTCTGAAGGATATGGTGTTGATTTCTGAGACAAAGTTCATCAGCGTTTTGGGGGTAAAAACAGAAGAATAACAGAAGTCAATGAGGGACAAGTTGAGGATAAAAATGTACATTGGTGTGTGAAGATGAGAATTCAGGCAGATGAGACTCATTAAACTCAAGTTTCCCACCACAGTGGCTGTGTAGTTCACAAAGAACAGAAGAAACAGGGGCAGCTGGAGTTCTGGCTGATCTGTTAATCCTATAAAAATGAACTCAGTCACTGAAGAGTCATTTTCCATATCCATTTGTTTTACATGAGACATCTGTAGGAAAATCAATCAGAACCAGATGACCTTAGCAAGGATCTTTGCATCATGATGTCAGAGAGACAGCTGGAGTTCATCGTTTCTGATCTCAGGATTATCTAAAGACAAAGCAAGACATCCAAAGAACATGGCTACCACTTCTTCTCAAACCCCTCCCCACAATGAGTGACTCAGTCCTGAGGTAATGCTGATAAGGATGTTGCTGAACATTTCCCCATTCTTTAGCCTCCACTAATGTTTTGGACTTAAAGAAGCAATCCAGTGACTTGCTCTGTATTCCATGATTTATTGCTTTGTAGTTCAAAGGAAATTATCAAAACATGGATGATTCAGGGCTTACCTCTGTTCAGGATGCTTCACTGCTGTTGAAGCACAAGGATCCTTTTTTCCCAATATCCTTAAGAGTTTGAGTTTCTGATGATAATTTTTTTAACACTCATCAGAATCAGAACAGATCCAGACATTATGAAACCATACATTTGGTAAATGACATGATTTGTACTTGAGAATTTATCTAGATTTTTTATTACTTACATGACAGAAAAAAGGTTATAAGAAGTTGTAAACATCACCGCATTTGAATTACAGTCTACTGAATGGATCAGCACAGAAAATTATTCTCACCTTTATGATTTCCTCCCAGGTTGCATAAACCCCAGGATGATAGAATTTTCTCAGTCTATTTACAATAGAATTCATATGTAATGTTGAATCTTTGGGGACTTAAAGTCTACTCAATTTGTAGTTTCCCTCTAGGAGTACCTAGTTCCGAGGGCAGAGTTGTGTGTTTTCCTTTGGGAATTTTCACTGTGTATGAACAAATTTACTAGAGGAAAATCAAAAGTATAATATTCTGCTATATCTGAGGGTTTCCTATAATACCTTCACGTTTTATTAACAAATATACAATTCTTTAGCAATCAACAAGGGAATTTTGTAAAAAATAGATTAAATAACAGATAAGGCACTTTAGGTCCTTTTGAGTTTAAATCCATGTTGTGAACTTTCTTATTATGAAGCTACCCAAAGGTTACTTACCTTCTCCTAACTTTATTTATATTTATAGCTTTATATTCATCTGTGTAGCTATGAAATATGGTTCATAAAAGATAGATTAGTGTACACATCAGTAGTCCTCTAAGTTTCAACAAAATGGATCTCATTTTATAGTAAAGAAGACAGCATTTTCAACTAATGCTGACGGCAAAACTGGATATCCACATATAGAATGTGAAACTAGATCCCCATTTCTTCCTCTGCAAAAGTGAATTCAAAAAGATAGTAAAGCCCTTAGAATGAGACCTGACATTTTGAAATCACTAATGAAAATGCTTCAAGAGGTAAACACAGTCAATCTAATATTCTTAATAAGACTCTGATAGTACAGAAAACAATAGAATTGATAAGTGAAACTACATAAAACAAGAATGCACAGGAAAATAGTTAATGGATTAAAGACATAGCATTCAGAATGAAAGGAAAATGGTTGGCAGCTATTTATCTGATAGTATACAAATATTCAAATATGTAAAGAATAAAAATCCTAAAAAATGCATAACAAGTCTCTCAGCAAATGGACGTGTGAGTTGGGAATGAAATAACTTGAAAGGGTGCTTGCCTAGAAAACACAAGACCCTTATTTTGATCCCTATGTTGCAGACAGTAAACAAGCAAAATAACAAATGAACAAATAAATTGAAAAGCCAGTCCTTAATAAAGAATTGTAAATTGCTAAGAAATATTTGAAAAAAATATTTGCACTCCTTAGCCATCAGGAAAATGCAAATCAAAACTACATTGAAGCCATACATGGAGTCTCATGCCTCTAATCCTGGAAACAGTTGGATTTCTCTGACTTTTATGCCAGAACACAATGAATTTTGGACAGGGGAAGAAAAAAGAATAAAAAAAACTACATTGGGATTCCATCTCACTTCATTTGGAATGTCTATCAATAAGAAAATGAATAACAACTGGATAGCATATTAAAATAAAATAACTGTTACAGAATTGGTGGAAATGCAAAGTAGTTCAGACATTATGGAAATGAGTCTGGAGGTTCATCTAAGAATTCTTAAGATAGAGCCCCCATGTAATTCCCTTATGTCACTCCTGGCATCTAATAGAAAAACTATGTTCATTAAATTCTTCATCATAGCTGAGCTAGGGAACCAGTACAGAAGTACAGGACTGAAAAACAGATAAAGAGAATAGATTATGGATGCACGATAGATCTAAATTCTGAAAAATGAAGGAAACAGCATGGAAATGCAGATCAAGTCAAGTGAAGTGCTAGATTCAGAGAGATAGCATTTTTTTCATTCTGTGCAGAAGCCAGATTCAAGAGAGGGTGGTGAGGGTGTAAAGATGGTGAAAATACTTTATTTACATCCATTAAAATACCATACTTAAGACAATTAGTTTACAGGGTCAATACATGCTAACAGAGAACCTCGAGAAGAAGAAGCGCTCTTTGCCAACAGGATTCTCCAAGGTTTGAAAATGGCATAGCATCATGCGTACAGCACCACACCATCATTTTTAAGGATTTCATGGCCCTAGAACTTCACTGTGTTTCTACTATTTCTTCCTCTGCTCCTCTTAATTTCTAGAAATCACTGATCTTTGTATGTCTCCAGAAGCTTAGCTTATCCACATAGTAGTTTACCTGGACTTGCCTGTGTAGACTGGGGTTTTCACTGAGTAATATGTGCTTAAGCCTTCTCCACATATTCTCAAGGCCTAGTAACTAATTTCTTCCAGTTGCCTTTTATGGAATGTACTACAGTTTGTTTATATACACACCTTTTGAGGAATAGCTTGGTGTTGTTGGCAAATATGAGAAAACCTGCTACATTCACAAGCAAATTTTCTCTTTTTATCTTATTCTCAAACCTGTCAAGACAGTATCAAGGAGCAAATAAACTGTGAGATAAAAAGAGAACTTGCTTCTTTATTTTTTTTTTATTTTTTTGTGTGTTAGTGTTTGGTTTGGTTTGGTATTATTTGGTTTGGAATTTTTGGGGAAGGAAGAATAGTAAAGTCGGGTAGATGATAAGGTGGGAAGGATCTGGCAGGAATTTCAGGAGGATATAAACATGGTAAAAATATACTGTATAAAGAAAAGTTTTTTAATTAACAAATTAAATTTGTTTGCTTCCAATTTCCAGGAGGATCTCTATATATTTTTCTTTGGGTTCACCTTATTAGGTAGCTTCTCTAGAATTATGAACTATAGGCTCAATGTCCTTTGTTTATGGCTAGAATCCACTAATGAGTGACTATATACCATATTCATATTTTTGGGTCTGGGTTATCTCACTCATAAAATTCAAGATGTCATTGTTTTTTACCGCTGAGTAGTACACTAACTAATGTGTAGATGTGCCACACTTTCTTTATCCATTCTTCAATTGAGGGGCATCTCAGTTGTTTCCAGGTTCAGGTTATTATAAATAATTCTGTTTTAGGTATATATATTCCCAAGATTGGTATTGCTGGATCTTGAGGTAGGTTGACTCCCAATTTTCTGAGAGGCTGCCACACTGATTTCCAAAGTGGTTGCACAAGTTTGTATTCTCACCAGCAATGGATGAGTGTTCCCCTTACACCACATCCTCTCTAGCATAAACTATCATTGGTGATTTTTTTTTTTTATTTTAGCCATTCTGACAGATGTAAGATGGTATCTCAAAGTTGTTTTGATTTGCATTTCCCAGATAGCTCCTGGAAATTGGAAGCAAACAAGATCACCAGATAAAAGTTGGGAGCATGGGGCGGGAGGGAGGGTAGAGGGAAGGGGTGAGGGTGAGAGAGAGGGGAAAAGGGAAAGGTTGGGAGATCTTGGGAGAGTGGGATGGTTGAGATGGAGGAAGGATAGATATGGGAGCAGGAAAGGAGATATCTTAATTGAGAAAGCCATTTTGGTGTTGGCAAGAGGCTTGGCTCTGGGCTGGTTCCTAGGAGTCCATGGGGATGTCCCCAGCTAGGATCCTGGGTAGGGGAGCAGAGGGTGCCTCAACTGGCCTTGCCCCATAGTCAGACTGATGACTATCTTGAATATTAACATAGAACCTTTGTCCAGCAACAGAGGGAGACAGAGACACACATCAGAGCACTGGATTGTGCTCCCAAGGTCCAGTTGAAGAGCAGAAGGAGGAAGAAGGTGAGCAAGGAAGTCAGGACCACGAGGGTTGGCTCACCCACTGAGACAGTGTGCCTGAGCTAATGGGAGCTCACCAGCTCCAGCTGGACTGGGAATGAATGAGCATGGGATCAAACCTGACCCTCTGAATATCATTGACAGTTGGCACAGATGGAGGGGCCAATGACAATGGCACTGGGATTTGTTTCTACTGCATGTACTGTCTTTTTGGGATCCTATTCTCTTTGGATGCATATCTTCCTAAGCCAAGGGGGGAGGGCCTTGGACTTCCCACAGGGCAGGGTGCCTTGTCCTCTTTTAGGACTGGAGGGGGTTGAGGGGAAGGTGTGTGGGGATATTGGGGGGAACTGGGAGGAAGGGAAAAGTGGGAATTTTGATTGGTATTATTTATAAAGTAATTTAAATAAAGAAAGATAAAAATTAAATCATTGCAATGTCTTCCACAATGTCTCTCATTTTAAATTCTCATTAAAAACAAATAAAAATTCCCATTATGCTAGATCCTTTAAAATGTTAGAGAACTTTTTGTGTCAGATTTTTTTTAATGTTAGTCATCCCAATAGATATAATATATTGATATATTACATTTGAAATTTTGCCTATGTCTTACTCTTTTGGTTTTTTGTGATTTTGGTTTTAATGTTATTTTAATTATTTTAATGTTATTTACTTAATATAGATAGATATTTCTCTTCTGATACGCATTTTAAAATTATTCCCTGTAATTCTGTGTTTTATTTTTCTTGGGGGAAAGGTTTTTGATTTTTTTATTTATTTTGTTTTTATTTTTTTATGAGATAAGATTCCTCTATGTAACTGCCCTACCTGTCTTGGAACT